AATACGACCCACCGGTGGGTCGTACGCTTTTTGAAGTTTTTGATTTTGCTCCTTTACGATTATTGCGAAATATGCTCTGATCCAAAGTAGCAGCACTTGCAAAACGGCCTTGTCGTGAATGCGTTAAACAAAGTCATGAATAGTAGACAGATATAGTCATATCGATTGAATTTCACAATGAACGTACCAGTAGCAGGAGGAGGTGCTGTGTACTGCATCGGAGAAAAATGAGCATTGACCTGTGCCGATGGTGGTATGCTTCTAAACAAGATCATATCGTAACACTAAAAGCAAAACAATGAGTCAAAAAGTGACTCATGACTCACGAGACGTTCACTAGTGGTGGAATTAGTGGCGGTGGTATGCTTTGCGTAACGCGAGGAGATGGCGCTGCCGGAGGATGTGGTGGTGGAGGAAATCTTAACTTCTTGGACATAAAAAGCTAAAAGTATTTGGGTAGAACAGCTCACGATGTATTTATCGGCGCGCTTATAGTGGCATTCACTCTGGGTGGAACAGGATACGGTATATTTGGAGGTGGTTGGAATTGATTGTATGGTGGAAACGGAGGTGGAGGTGCTGAAGATATGAGCAATTCAACACAGTCAAAAACTCAAGTAAAGCTTACCATTCATAGGAGGAACCGCAAATCCCGGAGGAGCAAATGGAGGAGGAAACGCGAACGGCGGTGGCGTCATGAACATTGGTGGTGGCGGAACGACTGCATGTTGCTGTTGGACCTAAAAGTACGTCTGGTACTTGCACACGTCGATATTAATAGATGTGGAGAGCTTTACCTACTGTATATTCCGTCAAATGACAAGAGCAGTGGAAGGCTGTTCAAACATGGACTACATTTTACAATTTTTGCAATTTGTCAGAAGAATACATTCACGACAAGGCTGGTTTTTCGACTACTGCCATTTCGAATTTCGTACGACCCATCAGTGGGTCGTACTGTACGAAATGGCAGTCTTTTTGAGAGATTGAAAACTGTGAATTTCTCCGAAATTCTCCGAATTTCGCACAGTTGTTATCGAAGGCGCTGATTATCAAAATATGGTTTGCTTTGACTTTTGGCATTATACTAGTCATTCTGCATGAATCCAACATGAGCATTTTCATTAAAGGCAGCGTCCACCTAAACAGTCGATTTTAGGATTTTGTGCTTACCCGGGCCTATTTGC